GGGGGGGGGTGGGGTGAAGAGATAAGACCGGTCCATGTTGAATTATGACTTATTCACGTTATTCCTAACTCACGTTTGTTAGAACTTTAAGTATTGCTTATATAAGTTCAACCGAATAGTTACCTTCGTATTCTGGCATTTGACACCTGTTTTAAGCATAGGACTCAGAGAATGCCCTTGACAAACCCACTTCTGCTTATAAAATATCAGTCGAAGCTATGGCAAACAGTTCCAGCCATTTTAAAGAATAATGAAAATCCTATCGCAATCATAAACCCAAATTGTTTCAATGAAAAATAGATACCAATGCGTTTTTCTTATGGGAAAAGAATGAATAATCATAAGCACTATCGATGGAAAGCTAGATCTGTTAAATTATAAACACCTGAATTGTTATTATAAGTACACTCTCTGACTAATTTATAATTAAAATAAAAAACAAGATAACCCGTTCATAATTTGATAAATCGTCAGCAATTTCGAAGAAATCAAAACAGCAGCATATGACCCCGAAAGTAATGTAACAAGATGCGCAGAAACTATTCGCATCAAACTCAAGCGTCAATTTGCAACAAACAATTTTAAAGCACTAGTCTAGCACTAACTAATATAAAGGGAAAGAGAAAAAAAACAAGAAAACCATTAATATTCAGCAGTTTAAAGCAAGAAAATAATTATTCGAATGGAAGCTACGGAGCCACTTGTGCTCAGATTCGCGAACAAGAAGGAAGAAGACGACTTTAAAGCAAACAAAGGTTCCTCTCAGTCCTTTAATTCCTCTACTGCATTTCGCCTATACATATATTGCTCAAGATCGAAATATGCTTTCTTGAAGTTCAAACCAAAGACGGAAGTTTATCAAAGGACTATCAGGTCATTAAATTCATACTTTTTTTTGTCTCTATTTGAATAACAAGTAGAAAATGCTATATCGTATACCTAATTCAATTATCATTGTTTCAAGTAACATTATTCGAAAATGTTTTTTTATTAAGTACAAAAAACACCAGTTAGCTTACTAAATCAAGTATGATATTGATTGACCGCCAAGTTAAAAAGCAATGTAGTAGTGAGGAGACTTCATTATCAGTTACGATCATGGAAGAACGATAATAGAATAATTGGAAAATATTATCGACTTCGAGGATAAACCATCCAGCCTCATAATATGCAATTCGAATGCTCGTCGTACCTTATAAACAAAGAATTCGTGTAAGGACCGGCTAAGAGCTATGTTTACGCCTAGCGTTGATTTGTGCGGATTACAAAAGTGCAACACGGACTTGGAATACGCGCGAATCACAGCTAGAGCACTATTGCAAAGATTGACTAGCCTTCATTAGACTTCAATCATACAAATACATTTAAATACAGTTGTTAAAGAACGATTTTCACGCTCAGTATCTACCACGAAATTGTATAATTTGTGGTTAAAATATAGAAAGCAGAAATATTCAGAGAGCAGAGCTACCAGGACTTGTGTACTACTTTATCGAGCGCCCATGTTGACTAATAAATCTGCGCCATCGTATTTTCCTGATTATTGATTAGGTAAGTTTCCGAAAAATTAGGTGGCGCAAAACAGTCAAATCCGTAATTTGACCGTTTTATAAGAACTCTGATTATTCATGCCTACACTTCACTGATCCACCTCTTATGCCTGATCCAATGAACCTTTGACCAGATATATATTAAAGCCTTTGGAAAGGTCATCAGTTCTATAAGAAAATGACATCTCTAAGCCTGAATAGATCCTAGAGAAAAACAACAGATTCTGATCCTACCGCAGGGCGTAAGATAATTATGCTTGACCACTTGAGTCTAACTGGTAAATTAATGACATACAGAGCGCGAACGGATTAGAAACCCCTCAGCATATCTAAAACCAGAAAGCAGAGCCGCTAAAGTGTTTCTCGTGGAGAGGGAGAGAGAGATAATACTTGGTACTCGAGCAGCAATCACGAATCCTTGTCAGTAATGCATACAAATGGGAGAGGGGCAAGCATAAGAGGTCAGTGTGATCATTAGTTGAACTAAGTTTTATAGAAACCCCTACGCTCCTACTAGATGGAGGATTGCGGTTATAAGACAAGATGGCTGCATTCTCCCACCATTTATATCTTTGGTTTCATGTTCTCCATTCTTAATCTGTTAGACTCTGTGCCTTACTCAATTTTCATGCGTACAAGATGGTCTACAGTAAACATTTACTAAGACAAATTGTCATTGTGTAGGTATGAAAGAAATGAAAAGGAAAAGTGGTCCTATTAGTGGTACATAACATAATTCACTTACTCAAACTCCGCCTCATCAACAGTGCATTTGTAAACAGCGCGACTGAAGAGCATAATATCTGCAATTTGAATTACTACAAACAAAAGGAAGTCAATAATAATAAAAATAAGGCATTTTAAAGAAACCACCATCACAATCACACGCACCCGACATCTTCACTTTTTTAACAGTTTTATTAGAATTGTTATCCACCAGCACATTGACAGCCAAATACTCGCCATGGTAATACTTCTAAAATAGAACCAGAAAAAAACAGTAGAGGGCGGGTTTATGAAGAATTAAAACGGGTGAACTTCGCTGTGTCAAAAAAAACATGCCACCTATCGCCACCTTGACGCAAAAATGACATTATGCGATAGATAAGGCAAAAGGGCCCATGTATATATGAAAAGGGCATTAGGGGGGGGGGGGGCTGTTAAAAATAATTGACTCGGGTAGGGGGAAAGGTGACCAGGAGTTGTCAAAGTGAGAAAATCACGTTCGCCAACACTGTCATATTAAATAGACATTGAACCAAAGCACGTCATTGGATGTACATTGGCAAGTCAGTGGGGTCTTATGATCCCCGAGTTTTAGCGGACGTGTAGGCTAATAGTAATCGCAGCTCATAAAGATCACAAGGTACATTTTCAGACATTCCACTAACTCGTATGCAGCACTTTTCTAATTGCAAACAGTGCTCCTTAACAAAGTTCCACTCCAGAGCCATCTAACTACCAACTTCAAGGTAACCAAAGCTTGAAGTCAGGGGGAAGGCTTGCATGCGTCTAATCTGAAGATGCAAGTATGGGTTTGTGGCTGGAAAGTCTGCTAGCCGAGCTAAAGTGGGGTCATCCGATAAGTTCAATAATAATAATAATCGATGGAGGTCACCGGTAACTTGAAAATGAGTTAGCTATATAGGCGTCAATGGAAATAAGGACAGTGATAATCTGGCAAAAAGTTATAAGACTGATGTCAAAAAATATGCAAACAACTAGATTAACCCAGCAGGCCGTTAAAGAAACGCGTGCAATAGTAGGGCACAGGGTAAAATAATGTAAATCTCCTAAAGTACACTGACAGAAAATGTGCAGCTAATGAGGAAATAGCATCTGGTGGGGCTTAGAAACGAATTGCGGCTAGTGTGGAAACGCAAAGAGCAAGAATTTACCGGTAATTAATTATCCCCCCCCCCCACCTACACCCAACCCCAACCCAATAGAACGTGCAATTTCGCATTGCAAAATTGACCAAGAATATGCCAATAGGAAAAGTACGCATACAAATAGAAACAGAGAAACATCTTTTTCATTGCATTAAATCACAACTTGTGTCCAGTAAATTCCAAAATGCCTAAAATTGGGGATCTTGTTACTAAAACATATGCGAATGTTGACAAATCGCTGCAGACCTAGATCGATCGAAAGATAATCAAGAGTTCTCACACAAAGTTCCAGGTTGTAGAAGCTGCAGACAAATTCGAATTTGGGAAAGATGGTCACAATGCAATATATATATATGTGGGTGTGTGTAAAAAACTCCACACTCTACACCCGCCCACCACTAGCATTTAAAGAGTTGACGCAAGCAAAGAAGTAAATGATGCGTTGGTTGCAGTTAACGTGATAATCTTAAGGGGAAAGACCAATTAGTCCGCCAATTTTGCATAAGGGATGGGTGGGAGGATAGGGTCATGAAAGACAAAATACAGGGAGGAGGGGGGGGGGGGGGGGGGGGGGGGGGGGGGAGTCAAGTGCCTGAAAGTCATTAACTCTAAGGCGGGCGGAGAGAATGAAATACAATTCCACCAATGGTAGCATCACAAATGGCCCTATGGCTGATAAATAAGACGTAAGAGCTTCAGTCAATTATGCTATTAGTTAATCAAACCCGCCTTCCGCCCTCTTCGTTTTACTAAAGCCAATCTTAAAGTGGACAAAGAAATAGGTATTTTCTGAATTTCCATGTTAATAAAAAAACATGCCCTACCATGTCCTCAGCAGATACATGAATGCATCCAGTATTAATGATAAAGACTGGTACGGAACATCAATCTCTCTGAGTCAGAAATGCCTTCATTGATAGAAATGAATCAAAATCCATTAGGGAAGTGTGGGTGCTACAACACTAATCTCAGATGGAACAGCAACAACATATGGCCTTCTAGTGAAATTCGAATTCTATCAAACCCCTTGAGGTTAGCCAATGTGGTTAGTCACCCCGCCTACAAGATAGGCACCAATGCGAAGCAAATCCACGATCTCCGATTTCGCAAACGAGTGATTTAGCCGCTCCCTTCCCAACAAAACAAAGCGTCCTTGTCAAAAATTTGAACATTCGGCTTCTATTTATCCGAAAGTTAATATTTCCCGTTAAAAAAAAAGACTAACACCCGCAAATATTTCACAAAAATAGATCAATAACTATTTGGGGCAAATAATTACAAATTTTCCGAATAATAATCCTGAAATCCCAAATCAAACTTCACTCATTTAATGTACTGATCAACTATGGAAGGAGAACAAACCTCCTTGTCAAGAGAGGCCTCCAAACGAAGTGTACCAGGACTCATGATGAAATCCTTGACAATTTCTGCCGAAGGTTGAGGAACTGATTCCTCTGGGGCGTAGGTCAGCTTCCGAATAGCCATTCGCACTGAACTCCTGGAGGAAAAGAGGAGAAGCAAATAAGGCGCCTCTTTTTACACTAAAGGTCCAGTTAAAGCAATGTTAGTCAACTCAGATGGAGTCAAAGCGAATCAATTAGCAAAATGCAGCACACGTTATTGTTAAAACAAAAAAGGCACTGAGCGCAAATCACAGTTTTGGGGATGATTAGTTGCAAACGAGAAAGACAAATGAAGTAAAAGATTGAAAACAGAAAATAAAAACTGGTATTCGGAAAAGAAGTGAATTATAACAGCAGTATCGCAGCGGAAAAAGGGTTGTTTCAACTCGTGCCAGAAAACAAAAATGCCCCATAAAACTATGACATATAGTTGTTTTTTATATCCCTATGAAATTGTATCTGCACATAGCGTTACATAGAGAATTTCACTTTGCGTCCGTGGCAACTCTGCTGCACAGAGAGCGAAAGAGACTAGAAATACGCGCATTCCATCCTTCGTTGGACCAACATTAAAACCGAATTGCCAGCTGGGAATTTACACGAAGAACTCGCTTCAAATACTACTAAGTGGCAGTGATATCTCAATAAAGTTCAAATTGAACAAAAAAAACACAAAAGTAGTGGCGAAAAACAGTTTCCATTATTAATTTTCTTATTATTAGCGTTAGCCCAAATTAATTAATAATATTTAATCCCGGAAAAGCACACAAACGCATAAGTAATTCCATAAGTGATGAAGAGATGGAGACGACCAAATAGAGAGGAAACAATAATAATAAGCGCTACATTCGAATTGTAGATATCCAAAGCTGTTAATCTTTTACTCAACAACGATGCAATGACAATGTTCCGGAATTCGAATTCTGAGAGGTCTAAATTTTATCGCCTACATCAGTAATGTGGATGATAGGCGGGTAAAGCAATCAAAACCCGCATTTTCATCCGGTGTACGGATTGAGTCGACTCAAACAAATTTTGACATACACTATGGAAAGCTAGCCTTGGGACAAGAATCCTCCCCATCCAAACACCTAAGCATGCAAAATTTGTAACATTTAATTTGTTTCTCCTATTAAGAGCAAATTGGGACATTTACAATTTTGGAGAAATAAGGGCTTGCGTTAAGTCAGTTTACAAATCATAAAACACAAGGCAATTTACTCAGGTGATATCATTACAAATTATTTAAAAAAACCCTCAATTTTTCTAAGAAAGTGTACAAAACTTTAGAGAATTTCGAGTGCGATGGTGACTAAAGTAAATATCTGCAAATTTTAAGATCAATAGAATTCCATACTCATCGACCTACCACACACACAATGAGCGGAATGACCAACCACACTGTTTGACTGTGGATAAATTAACTTCAACCCAAGTTGGGCATTGGGAAAACGCTTCCTCAAAGAGCTTGTGAGTTAAGATAGCTAGTAAAGAATATAGCATACGCCCACTTGCATTCCTTAAATCAATAACGAAAAGCATGAATTGGAAAGCAAATAGCTAACCACTAAATCAATTATGAACGTGACTTTAAATCTAAATCAAAACTTGGCGAAAATTCCTAGCCTATTCATCTAAAGTATGGTAGTACTTTGGAACCCTCACAAAATTCAGAGTTATATCAGTCAGGAGAGAACACGATTGTAATAGTATATAAAACAGTGTAAATGCCCAATTGCATCAGCACGTTTCCAGTAGAATTTAAATAAGTGTTCCGAATGGAATGAAAATCCATGATTACGGCTCAAAAAGGTTTGGGCAATTGAGAGCTCGAAAAGTGAATTTATAAGTCATAAGAAGTAGTGCGAACACAAAAAAATGGATCTAAGACAAGACCCCGAGCTATTAATTGGGAGAAACCTAGGTGGAATTCAACAACAGGGAGAGAAAGGGGGGGGGAGGGAGTTGGATAGAATAATAAAATAATTTAATTTTTGTAAGTGTGCATTGGAATGGATTCAACTAAAATGTGAAGCTAAAAGCACCTGTCGATCCGTTTGCAGAAAAAAAGAGGCTGTTTTACGTCAATTGGGAATGGAAAGTAACGAATAAGCTGATGGCGGAAGACCACATGAAATCTACATTCACTTGCATTTTACTGTACCCTCAACGATTAGAAAAAAACCTTGGTAAATCTACTTAAGAGTGCATAGATAGAAATTCTGATTAAAATTGTGAAGTTAAGGTGGACACTTTGTCCTGGACGCTTTGTTAAATATAAACTTCAGTGTGAATTATCAATGGACTCAAATGAAAGAAATTTCGAAAAAAAACTTGGAACCAGAAAGTGAAATTTCAACAAAGAGCACGGAGGTTCTACGAGTGCGTAATTTAGACACCTCTGTGACAAACAGCACGAATTAAGAGAAGATTCTCAAAGACGCACAAAAAAGTTGTTCCGCTAAAATATTCCAAGTGGAAACTCGAAAAAGCATTCGACTACCAATAAGTCTATAAATTAAAAAAAAACAATTAAGGATCTCATAAAGACTACCATAATTGCAAATATCATTAGAATACCTAGCTACTAATCAATGAAGTCGAAATTCGAGAATTACGGGGCAACTATTATAGCACAGCCCAAATGCGAATTAAAATAGAAATCTGTGAAAAATATTGAGGTGAATGCCAAATTAATGCAATCATCGCTAAGACAAGCCCCATTTTTATGCTTTGGTGGATCTTCGAGGTGGATTTTTCTCAGTCGATGCTTTACAAAAGCGCGAAAGTGATATTGAAGTCGAGTTGGAAAAATAAACCACCGCACAAACTACCAGAGAATACGACGAATACTCACGCTGCCTGGCTACGTGATAAAATACTTTCAAGGCTCGGCAGCTTGAGTATGATTGACTCCTTCTGGCGTTCGTCGTGACTTGTTCACCTTTCTAAGCATTTTTAATAAGTTTAGGATACTAAGAGGCGATACAGCACAGCAGGGTTCTCCATGCAATCTAGTGGGTCGTAATACCTTAGTTCAATGGCGTTAAAATGAGGAAATTGGATAATAATGCAAGGCATTCTACTGACAAATATGCGCCTTTTCCTTACTAATAAGGTCTGCACTTCTAATTCATCAGAAAGCTTTGCATTTTGGCCTGCAAGAAATTGCATTACTAGGAAAAGTATGCTGCATATAATTTATCTTCCCATTAAGCCATCAAAGCGATAACAATGTTCAAAACACAAAGACAAATATCACTTAGCTAATCAACTATTACTATTAAGGATGTTAATAATAGGAGATAAAATCAGTGACTTCGCTTGCTTTAGCAATTGGGGAAAATATTAATATCCTATTACCATTATTACTAGCTTACACCAACTAGCCCAATGGAAGGGGGCAAGAATGAGGAAGAAGACGAAGCGAGAGTAGCGCTAATGCTTCCTTAAAGGAGTTACACGAAGTTCCACGACAAGGAAGATTAAAATTATTTTATAGAAATCGTCAGCATAACTCGGAATTTATATTTGACAAAGTGGGGGTGGGGGGAGCGATGGACTTTACTGCATGAGGTGCACATTGGAGAACGCATATTCATACGGAAAAAAAGGGTCTATAAACTGGCAGTTGACTTAAAACTACCCTGACCCCTACTGTATGTCATATTTGGCCACTTCAACAGTACACACCTTGTCTTTTTCTCTACCCTTATATCTGCTTCTTTCACATCTGTGGATCACCCTTCTGTTCCACCGCTCCACTTTTAATGACTTTGATGTTCCTTGCTTCTATAAAGCCCGATTTCAGCTAAAGGGCTAATGATGACTATCATAAAGCCTGCTATTTGCTATTAAAAAAAATTAATAAGGACACCTTATAATACAAAACCGCGGTTGGAGATTTAGATCTCCGTCCTGCTCCCTACTGAGGTATAAGTAGTTCTAGCTTTGTAAAAATATGCGATTTTCAATTAACCAGCACCTACTAAAAGGGGCGTATCGGTAAATGACTGGAAAAAGCGAGAGATAGCGTTCTTGATGGTTGGAAAATCTGTCAGAGGAAATGCGCGGTCTGCAAATGTACACAAAACCCCAGTCAGTTAAAAGTACAACATGATCATGATTAATAAAACAATAGAAAGTGCGAGATTAACTTATTTGACTTGGGGTGTTCGATAGACTTACCTCCACGTTGTGCACCTTGGGCAACGTATTCTCATACGACAAAAGTCTATTAACCGACAGTTGACTTCTGACTTCAAACTATCATCACCCCACTGTATATCATATTCCACCACTTCCACAGTATTCATCTTACTTATTCTCTGTCTTTGTGTCTGTGTCACTCTTACATCATTGAATCACTCTTCTTTTCTCCTTCTCAGCTCTTTCTCACTTTGATGCTCCCCCTTCTCTCTGTGAAGCCTAAAGTCAGTTAAATGGCTAATGATAACTATCAAAACGCCTGCCACTTAAAATAAATAAATCTTATTTGACTTGGAAACCAATTAAATTTACCCGATTTTTCATGATGATTCTTTCAAAATTAGATGTAATATTTAAGCACATATCCCAAATTCCACAATAGAAAGCAGTAGTGCTACTTATATGGCCGAAATCGGATAATAAGATCCAATGTTAAACCGCGTGTGGGGATTTCTTTCACATCCACTAATTACATTCCCAATTGGGCATTATTTAAAGGCAAAGANTAACTTATGTAGTCATTTGAGCTAGTGCCTTCATTCTGATCCGTCACAACCGTTTTTTACAATCGATCGGTTTATAGTGTTCAGGGTATCTGTCAATTTCTTGAGTACTTCAGTTTCTGTTGATCTCCAAAGAGATTCGTATTTTTTCATTGCACCTGTTTCAGCTAAATAAATAAATAAATCAGATTAAATATATTGCATTATTTCAGCACTGAGGGGTATACGATAGACTTACCTCCAAATGGTGCACCATGGGAAACATATACTCATGGCCCCACTGTATGTCATCTTCCACCACTTCCACGATACTCATCTTGCCTTTTCTCCGCCTTTGTGTCTGTCTGTCTCTTTTACATCTGTGAATCGC